AGACCTTCCAAGTAGAGCAGCCTGGGACTGTAACGGCCTTAAAATGATCCTGGTGAATGGAAGCGTAAGGAGACAGACACTAAAATCTTGGCTAGGAAGGAAAGAGATACGCAAGAGAGTAGTTAAAGAAAAACACAGGATAAAGAAAAAAATTACAGGCTGAAAGTCCATAGAGACTTGGAGACTGATGACACAGGAGGAAGAAGAGGTAACTCCACGGAGTAAAGGAAACAGAAGTGCATGGGATGAAGAGCATTCACATCCAAGGATAGCCAAAGAGAAATGGATGCAGATACAATGGTAAAGATTTAGACAAATTTTCAGGACTAGAGCAGAAACTGAAATAATTTGAGCTTTAGCCCTACAATATTTTTTTTAAGGGAGAAATAAGGTCCTTTACTGAAAGCACAGGGAAATGGGTTAGGAATAGAAGCAAAGGTTGGGGACAGTGAAGAATTAGCACAGTGCTTTCAAGTACATCCTCTTAGGTAATTCTTACAAACACTTTATGAGCTTGTGAGGACAGATATTACTAATTGTATTTTATATATTAAAAAACCTGGACTCTAAATTATACACTAAAATTGCTTATTATAAGGTCTTTTTCAACTACACATTAAACATCTCATGCTATTTAGAATTTGTCTTTCCAAATGTTTACAGATACAGCTGACACTTTTGTCTCGTAGCAGGTCACAGAACCATAGGACCATGACCTAAGCCGTTTCTCTCCCCAGAAGCATTAACCATCTCTTCCCGGTTTCCAGTCCTGCTCAGAAGTCAGGACAGAAGCAAAGACAAATACTTAAAAGTGAAGAAAAACTAAGACTGTGAGCCACAAATTGTGACGATTTCTGAGCATGATTAGGTACCTACAGGATTTTAGAGTAGTGTAGTCCAGTTTAAAAAGTCCAGTCTTAAGACATTCTCCTGAGACAAATCTACATTTACGAAAGCATGGCATTTCCTAAACTGGTGTTCAGGGATACTAAAGTATACAGATAAAACAGGGAGTGGTTAGTAGGATTAAGAAAATAATGACAATTCTGAAAAGAAAGTATAGGTAGTCACTAGACCTGCCCCTTTCATCAGTAAAGAATAGTGACATGGATTTAAGATGTCCCTTGATTGATGGGCTCCAAAAACTAGAAAGACCCAAATTAAAACTGTTCGGGATACTAAAAATAAGATCATCAAAAGATCAATGCCCCATCTCCATTGGTCAAGTCTCCCATGATCACCAGATGTCTCTGAAACCTAAGGACTAGATTTCACATCTGAAATCCCTTTCGAGCCTGCAGTGACACTTTGTAAGGGAGAAGATTCAAAGTTCCTCTTCATTCTGCACAGCCTCTCTGGAGGATCTGCCCCCTGGAAGAGCTGACACGACTAGCCATCTACATGCGGCTGAAATCCTTTCCTCCGGTTTCTGTGCCACACTGCATGCTCTGGGGTCTCCTCCTATTTTAGGTAGGCTGTTCCCTTCTCTCTTCCAATATTAATTAATCCCTATAGTCTTTTTGCTCTTTTTCTCTAAACTTGTGTCGCTTTGATTTATTAGTTAACCATAGGTAGTTAGCCAGATATTAATAAAGGAAAGAGAGGAAAGGGAATTAAACATTGAGCTTAATGAACTACGGAGCATAAGCCTGTTTGCTTCACTAGGAAGCTACAGCTTCACACCCCAGGCGATTACAGCATTTCTCTGCAAAGGGGATTGACACTCCTCTCTTCCCCGCTCTGGTACTACTGGATTGCTGGGGGTTGCAGAGGGAGGTGCTGTACCTTAGAGCCTGTCAGTCTGAGTAGGGGATGTAAACCTATCAAAAACCTAGAAAGCTTGGGAAGTTGATTGGTTCTTTTGAAAAAGCACCTTGTCTGTCTCAAACCTAAGCTAATATAAATGCGACCACATGGGTCTAGCAGCCTTCATGGCAGACTTCATGGGCTCCAAAAGGACTAAGCTTTAATATGAAGCAGAAACTCTGGACACTGGCTTTTGTTTGGCTGAAGACATGGTTGGACTTTTTCCAAGGTGGGATGGGGGGAGATGGGACATTGAAAACCCAGGGGGCAGCTTCTATTTCCACTCAAATAAATCACCTTGCCATACCAGCTTCCCGTGTGTGTGTCCTTGGAATGCTTTCCTCATAATCCTCATAATCATGGAAGAGCCTAATTCTTACTAGCAAGATATTCACTCCTACAGAACGAATTATCAGTTAAGTTAATAGCCTTCAAATCCACTTTCACATCCCTAAATTCCTACCAAAACTCTAGCTCCAGTTTCAGTCTGGAAACATTTGGGGTGGATGGGGAACAACTGATAACTTTTCTTCTATTCTGCCATGTTACCATTCTTTGACTCCCATGCTAAAAATTCTATAATCACTCTTTACTATTTCATATAGACTATTAAAAAAACAAAACCTGGTTATGGTATCATTTTAATTGAGAGCTGGAAGCCTCAGGGTGATTAATTCCTGGTTTGTCTCCCTGCTTCTATTAGATCAGGAAAAAAAAAAAAAAAACAACCAAGTTAGGGCATGTAATTTCTCTTAAGGCATTGTAATTTATTCTATTAGTAGTCCACACAAAACAAAGTTATATAGTTTCTCCCATATCAAATACTGACTCAGAAGTAAAGAAGGAATTCTGGGTAGTTGAGGCAATGAGGTCAACAAAAAGAACAATTAAACCTATACAAAACTCAGGCTTTCAACATTCCAAACTTCTAATTACACATAAAAAGAAAAAGGAAGACAGAATGCCAGTAAGCCGTGTCTCATGTCCCAGCTGCAAGCCTCTCTGGACTCCGAGGGCAGTTTAGGAGAAACCGGAGTGAACAGAGAAGAGAGGAGCAGAGACAAAGTCTTCATCTGTTAAAAAAATTTAAAAACTACTATAAAAATAAAATGGATACAATAATTCAAACAATTAACCTGACAAAAAAAATCACCTCAAGAAAACAAATAGCAAAATATAAGAAAACTACAATATAGGATTTTAAACTGAATTAAATGTCTTTACACGAGCATTTGGGGTCATAAAAAATCGACTTTGATCAATGTGGTATAAGAATAGACATCATCTTTGTCCTGGTTCCTGGCACAGGGCTTCTAAAGACCCTTGGAATCCCCTGAATGATAGGAAAGTCTCTTGTTATTCCTAAGAAGCCCCCTTTAGGCACACCTGAGTTCACGCTAATGCAGTGACTTAGGATGGAGCCCCTACGTAATCTGAGGGGATGGGGCTGGAAACCGGAATGAACAAGGGATTCAAGGGTTGGAACTTTCAACCCCAACTACTAACCTCCAGCGAAGGACAGGGCAGCTGAAAATTAAGCTCTACACACCTAAAACTAATATGATACTGTATACCAGCTATACTTTAATTAAAAAGAGCTTTGCATTCCAGAATGGTATTTTTTAAAAATCCTCTTGGACAGTAAGACTGGATGAGCTCCATGGTCAGTGAACACATCCACGTGCTGGGAGGGTTCACCCAGTCCCATGGGGACAGAAGTTCCTGCACTTTTGACCTCTACCAACCTCTCCCCATGAACCTCTTCATCTGTCTACCTTTATCCTTTATAACATCTCTTAAAATAATCTGGTAAATGTAAAAGCCATTCTGAAAAATTATCAAACCCAAGGAGGGGCTCATGGGAACCTCCAGTGTACAACTGGTAGGTCAGTGACAAGTACAGGTGACAACCTGAACTTGTGATTGGCATCTGAAGTGGAGCAGTCTTATGGAACTGAGTCCTTAAACTGTAGGATCTGATGTTATCTCCAGGCAGATATCAGAAATGAGTTAAATTTGTAGGATACCCAGATGGTATCTGTCAAGAACTGGAGAATTGCTTGGTGTGGGAAAACCCCACATACACCTACTTTCAGAAATATTGATGGTGGAGGACAAAAATAGTTTTCCCTTTACAACTAGAAATTCAAAAACAAAAGAAGTAGACACAAAACAGAAAGTGAAATAAAGCTGAATGAATACAAGAAAGGAGTAGAAGAAAAAAGGCAAAATCATACTAGAAATGAAGACAAAATTACATGCTGCCTGAAGAATACATTTACATGAAGACTGAACACAGCAGAAAAACAAGAGAATGAAAATGAGATTTTAAAAAAAGGAGTAAAAAGTATCAGAGAGAAAACATTTGATATAGAAGACAGGTAAAAGAGATTCAATTTATGTATAATTAGAGTCTCTGTAAAAGATACAATAATGGATCAGAACTAATATTTCAAATTATAATCCTAAAACACTCCTGGAAATAAAAGAACCCACTGAACTCTCTGACCTGTAGTATGCAAAAGGAACTGTAACAGTCCCCAGAAAAAATGATCAAATAACTTACAAGGACAAGAGCATTAATGACCATCAAAATCCTCAAAACAACATAAAACAAGTCAAAAATGAGGAAGTATTTTCAAAACACCACAGGAAAACAATGTAAATTTAGGAGGTTATATTCAGTTAAGCTGCCCTTCAAGCAGCAAGGATACAAAGCAGCAGCATTAAACATGCACAGGCTCCTAATCATCAGCCCTTCTTGAGGAATCCACCAGAAGAAAAACTTCACCAGACCAAGAGATGGTGGGGAAGTTTCAGGAAAAAAAATGATGATGAGTATTTAATATACTTAGTTACATACCCAAAAGCAAAACAAAGGTAGTAGAAGAATAATGTATCACATGACAGTGCTGCATGTTGTATGTTGCATGTTCTGACAAGGTATAAATAAAACAACTAACTCAAAGTTTGATGGAGCAGGGAGAGGGGCACAAGGAGAGTGAGTGCCCTCGTTCATATGCAATCAACAGAAGTTAGAATAAATACCATTAAGAACTCATAAACCAGTGGAAAATTTTCAATGTGTCGAGCTCACATTTTTTCATATCAGTAAGATAAATAATCTTCTCTAAAAATCACAAAGATGTACATTCCACTTGGTATTTCACAATGACAATCAAAAACTACCGTACCTTACAGTAAAGTCATATGAGCAAGAGGCCAGTACGGAAGCATGAAATGGTGAAAACTACAAAACAAAACAAAAAAAATGTGTGAAGTTAGCTATATTTATAACATGTTACTTTGTGTGGTCATTCCCATGAACATTATAATAAATTCAAGTCTAGTCAGGGCTGTCACTTAAAATTATGCTTTCTCAAACCTTATATACTTCAAGGCAAAACATTTATTTTTTTACATTCTCCAAAGAAAGTCATATTCAAGCTTTTTTAAGAGCTTATTTACAATAAAGTATTCCCAAATTGTGGCTATTTTGGAAAAATTAAATACAATTTCATGTTGGCTATCTAAAAATGGCTCCTAGAAAGATAGGGGATTTAAGTATGTGGTGGTAAAAATATAAATCTATTATACCTCACCAATTTTGTGAATATAAATTATGATTGCTATAAGCACAAGTATTTAATAAACATTTAAATGTTAAGTAAAATATCTTTAATACATCACAGTTAATCAGAAATGGTATGGAGGCCAAAAATCTGAACATTTAAAGACAGCATCTTTTACATAAATAATATGCAACCTACTTTCATAAGCTTCCCTTTGCCATTACATTTCTGTAGTGTTTTTCTTACCAGTACTTTAATACTTAACATATACATAATAACTACACTTGCAAATTTTCTAGTTTGCAAAATACTTTCACTTCATTACCCTATTTCATTCTCAAAAGCACTGTGAAAAAAAAATAGGAAATATTTTCAACTACTAAAACCTGTGTGCCATTAAAAAATGCAGGGCACAATGTCTCATATGTTAAGTTGCAGGCAATAGAATTTAAAATATTAATTTAATTTAAATTTAAATTTTTTTAAATAGGAATATAATTATCTTACTGAAAAGATCAGTAAGGTACTTTTCCCCATTCATGTAAAAAATAAAGACTGATATTCAGAGATGTGACTTATTAAGATGTTTTCCACAGCGACTTAGCAAAATCTACCTAAATAAAAGCTGGAAAACTAAACTACGGCTCTCAAATTTCTTAGGAGCAGCAGAAAAAAGTTAACTCATTGACTCTGTTGTTCAGAGTGGGAAATTTTCTATACCCCAAATGTTTGTGAAATTTATATTTATTATCATATTAGGGAAAAGAAAGAATTAACCATTTCTCTATATGAGTAACAACAATGTAAAGAGATCTTCCCACTGAATAGAAAATTATGAAGAACATAATACTAAAACTAATTACCATAGTTTAAAAAATATTAAAAGGAATAGTAGATTGAGGATAACAGAATTTAAAAAAAATTTGGGTAATGTTTTTTTTAATTGTAAGTAAAAATTGGCTACATTGTCCCAATTCATTCTATCATTATTCATATATTTTACCTAATTTTAGCATTCAATATTCATTATCATTAGTTAGGTAACAAAAACATGCATAAAAAAAGAATCAATAACCCCAACCCATAAAACTTTTATTGATTATTTTTAAAGTATATTTTACTGATTATGCTATTACAGTTGTCCCATATTTTTCCCTATCCTGCACCCCCTCCCACCATCATTCCCCCACCTTAGTTCATGTCTATGGGTTGTACATGTAACTTCTTTGGCTTTTCCATTTCCTAGACTATTCTTAACCCTCCCTTGCCTATTTTGTACCTACTGTTTATGCTTCTTATTCCCTGCACCTTTTCCTCCATTCTCTACCCGCCACTGATAACCCTCCATGTGATCTCCATTTGTATTTCGATTATATTTATACTTTATTCTATGTATAAAAAGAGAAGATGAAAATTTACCTTCACTCTCCTGATAGCATAGGTGTGGCCAAGAAGTTCAAACACTGGTTGTCGAACATTCCTCAGGTCCCAGCCTCTCAAACTACAATCAACTGCCCCAGTCACCAGCAAATTCTGAAAACAATGCAGAGAAAAGTTAACTGTGACATCTTCTCAGTTAAGTAGTGTCCAGGCTTTCCTACTAGAAACAATATCTATTTTCTGGTAATTATTTAATCAGAATGCAGGAGTTGTTCTTGAGAAGTTATATAACAAATATAAAAAGGAATCAAAATATAGATAATATAAGAAAAGTTAGTATGACTTGAAAGAAAAGGAATTGCATATGCTTTCTGTATGAGATGGAATACTACACACAATGGAGAAAGGCACAGTTCCCTTCCAATCCACCTTCAGTAATATTATTAATAAGTACATAATAGATTAAAACTTATATCTGACAAGTGAGCCAATCTTTCTCTTTCGCATGTTGTGAGGTTTTACCAGGCATTAAAAGGCAAAAGGCCTGTTAATTTAGGAATATTTGAAAAGGCAAAAGGTATAAATTAAATCTTTATATATTTTTCTAAATCTAAATCAATCATTATTCCCAATTCCCACAGGCATGTCTTAATATAATATCTAATCATATCTGAAAATCTATGCAAATAATGGTAAGCCTCCTTAAATTTGGTTTTACAGATCTTGCTATATACAGACCCAAATGAACCCAAAGTTCCTGGCTGAACAGGCCAAGTGCTGGGTTCACACTCAGCCCCACCCCACATCAACGAGAGCAACAATTTATTGTTTGAATGTGCTGGGCTTCAGTATAAGCACATTTAAAGATAAACTTCAATAATTCCAAAAAAATTTTAAACCATTCTCAAGTGTATATTGGCATCTTTTTTTAGAACTTCCAAATATATAGTCAACAATTTCATTTTCCTATATGAAAAATTCATTATGATGTGAGAGATTGAACTGTAGTTACCAGCACTGAAATTTTTATTTTGATCAAGTATTGCCATTGAATAGGTACCATATGTTCTTTTAATCTATTTTATTTCTTTTTATTTCAAAAACTCTGCCAATATAATGTTCTCATTCTTTAATTTAAAACTGGGGGAAAAAGTGACACTTAAGTGTTACTTCTTTGTCACAGTCAATAGACCACTTGAGATATACGTATCTCAACACATATTTGGTCCATTGCTATTTCTAATGAACATGTTCCTGTGATTAAATGAAGCTTTGCAAAAAGTTACAAATGGACACTGCTCCCTCTTCAGAAGAAGCATGAAGTCTGATTATGCTTATAAGGAAGATAAACCGAAAATATACAAAACTAATGGACTGTTAAAAATCAATCTACAAATAGTTCAGCAGCCTTATTAGCAAAGTGAATAAGAATGGAGAGCAAAAGATGACACAAATTGGCAGGTTAAGAGCAATAAAGAAAAAAATATCACATAGCTTGTAAAGCAGTTTCCCAAACAAATGAGAAAGGCTGCACTGTGCTGAACTTTGAGAATTTCTGTTCCTTATTCTGCCTGTTTTGAATGCCCAGTTAATGCTATTGCAGGCCACTCACAATCATCAATTAGAAATGAAAGGGACAGAATTTAATTTAATTGTCCATTAACACCACCAAAGTCCACATCAACAAAGATCAAATGAAGTCTAGAACACTTCAACATCAGGAAGGGCTAGGCAAATCAGGGCAGAGCCAGACAGGTACCTCATCGTATTTGCACCAGTCACAGCTCAGAATTTCTGCCTGGTGTGCAGGAACCACGACTCGGGCTCCTGCCGACTTTACGTCCCAGACTCTCAGGGTCTGGTCACCTGGGGAGAGAGGAAGACTTGATCACACTCCATCACACCACCCTGGGTGCTCAGTGACATGTACTCATGACGACATCATGGGAAACCCAGAGCTTTCACTGAGAGAATACTGCCGTCTGTAAATCATATGTACACATATGTTATTTTTAACTATAATAATACATAAGAACTACTAAAAGTGATGAACTACAAAAAGTAATGCATTGTGACAATGTTTTTTAGATCAATTCAAATCAGGAAGATCTGAATCTCACACTGAGAAAAGCACAATGGTGACTAAACACACCATGTGGTGCATCTTGCTTCAGGAAAAGGCCCCAAAAATCCTCACTTCTAATAAATAAAGTTAGTCCCCTGCACCAGCATATTCTGCAAGAAACAAAACAGTGACAATTTTACTATTTAATATAGGCAAAGTCTACCAAGTCAAAACAGAGAATTTTTAAATCTTAGCTTTTATGTTTACCACATTTGGGATTTTTTCTCCTTGGAAAGAAATAAGCTGAAAAAAAAAATCTAAGAATTATACTTCATATTATTACAAAATTGCTTTACATTGCTTAGCTGCACAAAGTCACCCCTGATTAAATGGTTCATATCTGTTTGCCTTGAATTTTTGTAAACTATGAGGAAACAACAAAATGGCCAAATGAATAAAACCAAGGATAAATATGTATATCTACATCAAAAGTAAATTACAAACAACTAATCCCGGGGGAAAGCTAGTTCATCTTGATGATAAGAATGTGGTCTACGACATGGTGGCCGTCACAGTCTTGAATTCCATGGGTGGTTGTGTGCCCCCGGACAAGTTATATAATATGTACGTCTGAGAATGATTCCTCACTGCTGAAAAGAAGTAATGCCCTCTTGGAGGGTTCCCCAAGAATTTAGTGCAATGAGGTTTCTGCAAATCACTGAGCATGGCTGCTGGCAGAGTAGATGTTTTAATATGTAGTATATAAAGGTGCTAAATTTTTAATTATTCTTTAAAATTTAAAGAATATGTATAGCTACATATACTTTCCTATACTATTTCAAATTTTACATCAGATTGTTTAGCCAAATTTAGCTATTTTAGACAATTTTTTTTCTGATTTCCTTGGACACTGCTTAAGAAAGGAGAATTAAATTGTTGGTGGTAATGACATGCAGAGGGTAAGGAGGAGGACTCTGCAGCTCCAGAGCGTGGTTCTACTCCAGTTCAGTCATTTGGTAGCTGTTCATGCTTAATCAGGCCTGATTCTTCTTTTCCAGACCCATGATAACATACCTTCCTTACAAAATTGAAATAAGAAGAGGTTTAAAAATATAAAATAGGAAAACATACTCATGATTAGAAGTCATTCCTGTTAATTATAACATGAATAACAAGCTAATATTTACTGAGTGCTTACCACGTGACAGACCACAATGTGGTCTGAGAATTTTATTGTACGTGTGTTAATTTATTTTAGACATCACAGCTGAGGTAGAGATTTTGATCATACAAAAAGTAATATTTGTACTCATTTATGAAGGAAGAAACAGAAGCTCACGAAGGTAAAATAAACCACTCAAGATAGCAGGCAAGGGAATCAGGACCTGAACCAGAACTCAGGCAGTCTGCCCCCCCGGCCTGCGTGTCTACACCTGCACTAACATGCCTCTGACGTTTCTAGAGAAGTACCACACCATCAGTGCTGGCTGGTTCTTGGGGAATTATTCTTTTACCTTATATATTAATTTTTTCTATAAATTGGGGAAAGCACATTTAATCACACACATGCATGCACAAACACATATGTGCCATCCTCTATGTGCCCCAGAGTTACTTTAGAAATAAAATACTAGAACCCTGCAGACAACGTTGCAGCCTCTGTCGTATTCCTGACGGCATGCCCCACCTCCTTGCCCAGAGGCCGCCAGTCAGGAACTCGGTATGCGTCCCTTCAGTCTGTGTTGCTGTAATACTTTCACTACTTTTCATGGATCTATAAATATGTGCTATTGCTTCATGTGGGGTTTTTTTATTTATTTAAAAATACCATCCTATTATTTTACAAAAGGTTGAAAATCACTCTGATAGAAGAAAGTAACTAGCATTTTCGGATCTAGCTGCGAATGACAGGGATGAGAAGGAATGATGAGTCTGAAAGAGCCAAGTGGAAACTGTTCAGAATCGGCAGAGATCAGAGCTTCAGACATCTTCAGAGGCCGTAACTACAATCACGGTCTGGGTGGTCTAGCCACCAGTCAGTGGGATTTGTTTCCGAATTCTAAAGAGCTTTCATAAAGTGATCTTTCATGGTTTTCCCTAGCCTTCAGAGTCTAGTAAGTCCGCACTTAACATTGTAGATAAGTTCTGCGATTTTGAACAAAATAACTTACAATGAAACCAATTTTACCATAAGCTAATTGATATAAACAACAGTTGAGACCCTACGTCGTCTCTTCAACATAAGGACATGACGTTGAGTGAAACTTTATTTGAGGACCTGCTATAGAAAGCAGGGTGGCATGAATGTCTATGTTTGGCCTGTCGGCAACACTCTTCTTCTAGAAACAGCGTCGGCTTCTCGCCATGCAATTCCAGAAAGACCTACGTATGGCTCAACACAGCAGACCAGCTGCCAGTGGCAGGACTTCAACTTATAAGAGAAGCTAATCAGACACGTCCAAGCAAGGCCACTCATAGTATCTTATTCCCTGTCCTGACCACAGTTGGCAGGTCAAAGGTAGGTACTTGAAATGTTTCTGAACTATAACTAAAAAATAATGTCAGTCCCTCTCTTATGATAAAATCTACAGGTCATAAAATTGAGGAGCTGCTGGTGGGCATGGGTCTCACTGTAACACTAGCCTGCAGTCAGGTCAATAAGCAGAGAAAAGTCCAGATCAGGAACAGAAAACGTGTCCTCAGGACTTTCAATCATCCCTTCCCTTCCTGGGGTTGCTTTTCAATAAATTCTACAAACACCTAAAATAGTTCAAGTTCTATCCCTTGTAGGCAAAGGAAAGCACTGATCATCCTGGAGGGAGTGATGAAGTTCATTTGAAGCTTCAGTCTCTAAAAAAGCCCCAAACAAAAACATTTGATTCAGCACAAGGTTTCCACGAAAACATAGGAAAAGCCTAACTGATGTACCCCAGCTTCCAAAAATTTATATTTAATATTAGGCTGAAACTTTAAAGTCTACTATAGTTATGACTAAAGCATTGTTTAAAGTTCAGTGAGCTTGTGTTCACCTCAAAAATTACATTATACGGGTATGTGAATGATTTTAAGTACCAAAACATTACAATGAATGTTGACTAGGAGATTAAGAACTGTTATTGTAGCAACAATATGAATCCCACAAATAATGTTGAGCAAAAGAAACCAGACACAAAAGTATGAAAACAGGCAACATTAATCTACGCTATTAGGAGGCAGCACAGGGGTCACCCTGAGGCAGGGGGGCAGTAATGAGTGGAAGGATGTGAGGAGGGCCTCTGGAAACACTGTGTCTTGATCTGGCTGCTGGTACCCAGATGTGTTCACTGTAAAAGCTCATTGCTTTATATGCTTTAGATTACGCACTGTTCTGTAAGCATATTACACTCCAGTGAAAGATCAAACAAAACAACAAAGCCTGGGTGGTTGGTTATTCTAAACTTCTCTGAGACAGTATTTTGGTTCCTCACTATCATACTCGACAATATTTGTTTTAAAAAGCACCATGGCTTGTCCCTCTTACAGCTTATTTAAAGGGCACCAAAAAAGTGAGAACTCTTCTGCAGAAGCTAAGAATTCCACTGCCATGACAGTCGCTCCTGCTGCACACAACTGGCACTTCTTCCTCATCTCTCTGTTTTCCAAATGGCACAATGACTCACTCAACTCTTTGAGCCACCAGGACATCTGCATTTGTTGGGTTTCTTTTTTACAATTTTTAAAAATCATCACCTGAGGATATGTTTATTGATTTTAGAGAGAGCAGAAGGGAGAGAGAGAAACACCAATTGGTTGGCTCCCGTATGCACTCTGACCGGGCATCAAACCTACAAACTACGTATGTGCCTTGACCGGGGATCAAACCTACAACCACTTGGTGCACAGGATGATGCTCCAACCAACTGAACCACTCAGCCAAGGCTGCATTTGTTGTTTTTTTAATCACATTTTCCGGACAACTGGCCTTTCATTGTCAATCAGACATTCATCAGGGCCTTGTGATGGTGCCACAGACCCACCTGATTACCAGCTTCTCTTTTAGGTTGCAGACCTGCCACTATCCGCAGAACCGATGAATTTAAATGCACGATGCGGAACAGGAAGTGCTGGCTACTACTATGTTTAATGGCAAATCGCAGCAGGTAAGAGGAAGCTGGGTAAGGAGAATGAGTGTAAACATTGAGTCTGAAATTGTGAAGTGAACTGAGTAGCAAAAGGATGCACATTGGGCCCAAATAATTTAATTTAATTGAAATACCAGATGCCTATCAGATGTCGCATGACTCCTTCTCAGAGTGCAATGAGGTTTTTTTAACTACTGAACCCAACATATTCACACATGGCTATCATTTATGAAATTATATGGGGTCTGTAATAATAGTAACTTAGTTTTCATGGTTCACAAGAAAGTTTACTTCACATTAATCTTCTTTCTGTACAGAGCTTAAATATTCTTCCTTTCTAGCTCACGTAATTTAGAAATATGAATTGTGTACTAACACAGCTACCACAAATCAGACAAAATGCAATGTCCTTAGAGAACTCTGGTACGGAAGGCAAATCTAGATCTAAATCTCGAATAAATCCCTGTTTGGGGCCTGTCTTAGCTGATGACAAATTCAGTCCTAGATTTGCAAATACCATGCAACTTTGAAGGTTACTAAATTCTTGGAGTAATTTTTTAAAAGAAATGTATTTTATAGCATGCAGGTCCAGTGCTTGATTTTCATCAAATCCCCTCAGATCTATTTTAAGCCTTGAATGTGCAGCCATTTCAGTGAATATGGGCCTCCTAAGAACATATCCATCTACTTCCACCTAATCAAAATTCACTCTTTTCCTGCTCAGTGTATGTACTTTGTGAACCTCTTTCTCCCATTCCCCACTCCCATCTGCGGGCGCTAAGCCGGCCACAGCCAGACCCTCTGCAGACACAGTGTTTAGTTCAGGAACAGCCACAGACTCCCTTTGGAGCCAATGGAGAAAATGAAACTTTCCTAGATGTCTGAAATCTTCTCACTTTTTCCTCACACACAGAAACCAGAAAGGATGTGGGGATTAAAGCCACTGCCATTTTGCTATCATAGGTACATGACACCGAAACCAACTCAACAGAAGAGAGGACGAAAGTGAGGACAAGAATATCCTTTGAACCCTATGTCCAGCCATGCCTCTATGAAGCCAGTTCTAATTCTGGACTTTTTATCTATGAGAGCTATGTGAGCAAACGAATTATCTTCTTTCTTAAAGCAGTTTGGGTCAAAATTTCTTTCAATTTCAACTAAAGAAGTCCTGGTTGATACAACCAGTTTATATTTATTTCTAATATATATTTTTAATCATTTTTAATTTTTCAATTATAGTTGATATGCAATATTACATTAGTTTTAGGTGTACACCCCGGTGATTAGACATTACATAATTTACTAAGTGATCATCCCGCTAAATCTTGGGCCCACGTGACACAGAGTTACTGGAGCTGTGTTACTGACTGTGTTCCCTGTGCTGCGTTGCACATCCCCGTGACTTTTCTGTGGCAGCCAGTCCGAACTTCTTGATCTTCACCTTTTTCACCCACCCCCTCTAATCCCTTCCCATCTGGCACATGAAAGTAATGTCATTAAACAAATGTTCTTTTTCTTCTATTAAAGCAAATAATCACTTTATTGATAAAAAACTGTTTTTATACAGTACCTACTTACAACATACAGGTCGTTTTCAGAGTGAAGTTTTATGATTATACTGCCAACTCTCTCTATACCACTAATCTTTTTCTGCTGTTCAGTCTCACACTGAACACTCTAAGTGTAACATCCGGAGTCAATATTATGTATACCATGCTACACAAAAGGCCAATGAAAGAAGCGGTGTATGACTCAGTCCAAATAAATGGCTAATACACACAATGCTGCCTGACATTCAAATAAATGCAGCTGTATTAGTTCATGATTTTGTCACTGTCAGATTTTACATTTGGTCATGGGCGTAAAAAGAACAATGACTAAAATCAAATAAAGACAACTTTGAACTTTAAAAATAATAAAAACTAACAAAATTATATTCAATAACAAGGTAAATAATTTTTAAAGTATCAGTAGTTCAAGGAGCTTTACTTACTAATACTTTCCCAAACATGTAAAATTTCACTCATTATTAATGCTAGTTTATTGTGAATGATGACAATCAGAGCTCCCAGCAGACATGTCTTGACTGGTTCGCTATTGAAACGTGTTCCAGTTCACCAAGGGTGGATCTGTTCCATACCACTAACTCCACCCTAGGTGTGAAACGCCTCCTCTGAGCGTGCAGGATATGAGGCTAAATGGGCACGCCTACTCAAAGAAAAGGATGCCAATGTCAGTCTGATTCCCATTTTTATGAGAATTTTAATGTAACTGTACTAATACTTTGTGTTAGAGATTCTCACTAACAGTAAAATGATAAAAATTATAACCATTACACTAAACTGTGGTCATCTAACAGAGGTGATTCACTATAAACATAAAACTCATTCGCATTTACACTAAATTAAAAACGTAAAAGATGATTAAATCAAATTATATATGCAGGCTAAAGAGTTAATTCAAATTAAATGTATCAATATTGCTATCATTGACTTAATAAACACCTGTCCTGGGGCAAGCTGCACAATGGAAAGACAAAAGACTAAAAAAGAAATTTAGACTTATTCCAAAAGCCTTGATATTCTGAAAAAGATTCATTTCAGATTATGAATAAAAAACTATGACAATTTATAAGTTAAAAAGTAATAGTAATAAGTGTATTAGTTGACAGAGTACACCACTCTGTTCTAGAAAACAATGCTGTTAATTTTAATCAACAAACAAGCATTTTTAAAAATTAACTGCACCTCTACACACAGAAGATGCTATGATTCACTTCACTGTTATCTTAGATTCAAAAAGTTGCTCAATTTAAATGGACATTCTTGTCTGTACACAATTTACCTGCAGGTTTTCACTTCCGATTGTCTTCAGCCTGATAATACTTATAGAACTCAGGGACATGGGTATTTTCAATTTTTAGAATTAAAACTAATAAACAAAAGACAAATACCATGTGATTTCACTTATATGTGGAATTGAAAAAATACAGATATAGCCCTGGCTGGTGTAGCTCAGTGGGTTGAGGGTGGGCTTGCGAACTAAAGCATCGCAGGTTCGATTCCCAGTCAGGACACATGCCTGGGTTGCAGGCCTCGGCCCCCAGCAACCACACATTGATGTTTCTCTCCCTCTCTCTCTCTCTCTCTCTCTCTCTCTCCCTCCCTTCCCTCTCTAAAAATAAATAAATAAAATCTTTTAAAAAAAGGATAAAAGATACTGTTTTAAAAAATACAGATACAAAGAACAGATTGGTGGCTGTCAGAGGTGGGGGTGAGGGTAGGCTTTCATGGGTGAAGGAGATCAAAAAGTACAAACTTCCAGTTATAAAACAAGTCATGTGAATATAATGTACAGCATGGTAACTATAGTTAATCATACTGTATTGTTTATTTGAGAATTATTGAGAGTAGACCTTAAGAGTTCTCCTGAGGAAAAAAATTCGTAACTATGTGTGGATGGATGTTAACTAGACTTAGCGTGGTGATCCTTTCACAATGTGCATACCCAAATATTGAATAATTATGTTGTACAAATGAAATTAACACAAGGTAGGGCAAAAGTAGGCTTACAGCTGTGTATATGGAAAATAATACAATAATTAAGAAAAAATGCAAGAATAAACTGTTTCATGGATTCACAACTGTAAACCTACTTTTGCCCCACTGTGTATAATGTTATATATCAATTATACCTCAATAAAAAACAAATTGAAAGGATTTCTGTGACATTATATTTCTTATGACAGCCACCTGACATGATTCCACAATGCAGGGCATTGCTATAGTTTGTTAGCAAGAAAGGGACAATCAGTACCCTACTGACTGTTTATCTTTGGGTGCTGGATAACTGAACACGGAGACGATACTAGGAAAAGCACTCTGCCTCCTCCTGTAGTTATGTCTTCTGTCCTCCTCTAAACAACCAGAATAGTTTCCATGGCTTGATCCCCACCCTATGCAAGGCTCTATGCCAGCAAACATTTTCTGTAAAGGGCCCAACAGTGAGTATTTTGGGCTTTTAGAATTGCTGACATAATCAAAAGCAAACAGTCAGAAAAAAAAAGGTCATACCGAAAAGCATCCTTGCTATAGCTTAGTGGCAATGAATTACATCCTAAAGAGGACATTCTAAAAGGAGGGTAAACATCAAGGAAAGGAGACACTGACACCAAAGCCCTCACTTGCTCTCTGTCCCACACCTCCTACTTCACCAAAAAAGAGCATGATAGGCAAATGGTTACAATCATTAAAAAGTAATTCAGGCCCACCTAATTCATGTCTAGAGGTTGGCAGGCAATGCAACAAAGAGCACAAAAAATTTGGTTTCCCCACCCTCAGCTCTAAGGTACACAGCGCCACCTACTGGGAGAAGCAAGACCACCATTCTCTACAAGTAAGGCTTTTTGTAAAAATCAATTTATTTACCTGAGGCTGAAGCAAAGCAACCAGGGATGTGGGGAGACCAGATTGTGCTATAAATGACACTTTCATGGCCTCTAAAGGTGCACAAAGACTTTCCAACAGTTGGATCCCACTACAAATAAGTGAACAGATCAATTATATAAAAAAGGTAAATTCAAATGTATGCTTTTAGATATACAATACATAAAATATTTATATATTTATATATGTATATACACATACACTATAGATACATGTCTCAAGGACTTTTTTAAAGTCTACTTTTTCATAAAGCAAGATGGCATTCAAGGGGCCAAAATAATCAATGCTGAACTAATTATTAGTTTACAGCCAAAAGACTAGAAAATTTTAAATTCTAATAAATGCTTTAATGTACTTTTAAAAGATATAATTAGCTACCTACTTTAAAAGCTACAGAAGAATGTTCTAGAAAAAAAAACAGTGGAAACTTTGGGAAGGGAATACTTATTTTTAAACACAGCAATGCCAACATACCAGTTTGACAGTTTGATCCCATGAACCCGACACCACAAGCTGTTCACCTCTGGTTTGGCTCCAATCAACGCTGTAAACCTAAAAACGTTTAAAAGTGCCATTTAGAAAGCAAAAGAGCATCAAGTTCAATGTTATATTTTTATCTCTTTATAACAGTGGTAGCCAGTTACAACAACTCATTTATTTTGTTAAAGCATCAAATAAAGTCGTATAAATCTCAACATGGTGTCTGAGAAATGGAAAGTCCCTTTGTCCACTCCTACAGGCTTATTCCAACAGACTCTACTTTAATAGAATTCTACAGAATATTTCCAAACCTTCTTCACTAAAAAAATTATACATATCTTTAAACCTACCAACAAATCACTGTCTACAGCACCCTGAAGAAATGTCAAAGCAGATTAGAAAGTCATCTAAAAAAACCTGCGGGGTCAATGTTTATCAGACAGCATTAAAATGCAATCAATATCACTATCTGGCCTTTCTTTGAAAAAGCTTATGGGAACCAGGTGATCCTTTCAGATCTCTTGGTAAACAGCGTTAGTTATCCAATGGTGCTGTTCTAACCTAGGCTTCGCCGCTCTCAATAAACCATTTCAAATGAACTACTTGAAGCTTATGAAAGTATTTTTCATTCTGTCATTTTATACAACAGATTATACAGATTACTACTATAAGCTAAGGTCAACAAAATATGTGCATAATTATGCTTTATGAAAGTAGTCCAGACATGGATATGAGCACATGTCACTAAATGTGATCAGCAGGTTATTCTGAATCTGAAAACTCGAGCTACCGTATCTAGGTAAGAAGTATGAGTGACAGGGGTTTGCAGTGGTTTAAGTATGGGTTACCTGTTCTCAGCTGCCTACTGCTAAGCTGAGCCACGCTAGAGTCTGAGTAAAAACAAAAAGAGCAGTAATACTGTTTTATTTAAAATGGATATTTTGTTAACTATAGATTTTTGCATTGATTTTGTTTTTTTAAACCACTGCATTAAGAGATTAATGCAGAGATTTATTTTGACCATTAAGTTTAGAGACCTCCCTTAATTTCAGCACTCAAAGTGAGTGTCTCACCCGCCCCTCCTAGTCCTGGCCCTGCTGCTGCCCAGGTCCATGCAAAAGAGCAAAGAGCAGTTGGAACACGACAGAGCTCAGATAGCACACAGAAGGGGCAGCAGAAACCAAAGACTGCTACAGCCATCTGTTAGTTACAGGTAGAAAGATGGGTTTGGAAGCAATCACTGAAGATTCTGAGAGCTGAAGAGTTTGACTTTATCCTCTAGGCCAGAGCTCAGCAAATTTCAGGGCCAAATAAATATTTTAGGCTTTCTGGACCATTTGATCTCTGTCACAACTAAACTCAGCCTTGTAGGGTACCAAAGTAGCCACAGATGACACGTAATGAACAAGCATGGCTGTGTTCCCATAAAGCTATTTCAAATCAGACAGACAGCTGGGTTTGGCCTTGGCCCAAGCAGACATAGTAGTTTGCCAACCCCTGCTCTGCGCTGATGTGAATAGTCAAAAATAACTACAAAAACAAATCTTTATGGAGCACCTACTGCATGCAGGATGTTGTCACAAGCATTTTGTGTATTTTATTTCACTTAATCTACACTTCTATGAAGTAGAAGTAGATGTTATGCCAAGGCCCCCAGAAGTTCAAATTCCCAGAGCTGGCAAGCTGCAGAGCTGAAACCTGAGCCTGAGCAGCCTATCTGCAGGTCCGCCCTTCTGCACTTCTCTGGGCTGTCTCTGCAGCACCCTGCTGGAGGGCGCTATGGAACTGGAACTCCTCGGTGACCTGGAGCTGCAATAGGAAGGAAGTAAAGTGGTGCCCTTGTTGGCATCACACTTCACTGGAGCTACATCTGGGCCCAGACTTATTTCATTTTGCTTTCATGGATCGTAGACAGCCAAGATTTAAAGCCCCTGTCCACTCAGTGAATTCCCACTCAAATGTCAAGACTTGGCCCCACCCTGTTCTTCACGAAGTAAGCCTCCCGACAAACCCCTCCATGACTTAGATGCTTCCTTCTGTGCATTCCAACAGCATCTTGTACCTACTTCTGATTCAGCATTTACCATATTTTACTAAAATTCATATGAAATAACTGCTACACATCTCGTACATCTATGCTCATTGCAATAGATGTGAATTCACAATAAATGTGGATTAAAATAATTATCCTCAGCCAAATTTATCCTCACAATTTGTAACTCTGCTAAGAAGTTGGAAAGAGCTACTGTTTTCATTTTAAAAGATAACTGAATACAACTAAAAACTAACAACACGAGCTCACTCTCCACGCCTCTACACATTTCCAGCACAATGCGGGACTTGAAACCTTATGCCTTCTCACCTTTTAAAACTGTGGGAGCCTCCACGGGATCAGAGAGAACCCAGCCCTAACAAGAAGAGAAGATGGGAGGTGAGGAAGCTGTGCGGGTGGCAGTGTCCTGCCAGCTGTCGCATCAGACACACAACGTGGTGCGCATTTGGGCTCTGGACAAGACTGAGGGCAGGACACACACAACAAGGTTAAAAATGGAGTAACAGAGAAGGAAGTAAAGGTGACTCAGTCAATAAATACTTCATTTGTTTTACTGTGTTTGAAATATTAGGACATGTAACCAACAGTACAAGTCAGAATATTGTGTTAAACAAACAAACAAAACCTCTAGACGTAAGTACAAAAGGGTGCTGGGACGGAAGCTTCAGCTTGATGACCAGGAGAGAAGAGCCTTTGAGGGCTGGCTGCAGTGTCTCCAGCAGGAAGCAGAGGTATAAACACTGACCAGGAGCCCACCCCTCCAAAGACATACATGGGCACAGAAAGCACCAAGAGATTAGGACTAGTGAACGCTGCAAGCTAACACCAAGGCTTCGTGCCTGGGGACTGTCAAGGATGGTGGCATTACCAAAACTGGAAGACTGGAGGAAGGAAGATAAGGCATAATTTTAGACACACTGAGTTTGAGGTGACAGCAAGATAATCAAGTGGAAACGTCTGGTAAGGACATTTTGCATTTACCTCAAGCTCTGAAAAAAAGTTTATAGCCATAAGGATGTTTGGGAGACAACCAAAAAGGGGTGACTGGATTCCATTATCCCAACCTAAAGTCAGTTCACTCATCTATTCAGGAAATATTTATCAAGCACCTACTATATACGAGGCATGGATTGGGGCAGGGGAAGGAGATACAATGCTAGACAAGGCAGATAAAGTCCCAACCCCTGTGGATCTTCTGTTTTAGGAGGGGGAAACAGTCTGTAAATAAGTAAAAATATAATTTCATGTTGTGATTTTTAAAAATTACAAAGCAGAGTAAAGCAAAGCAAGGAAACTAGAAAACAATGACAAGGGTAGCAGGTTACTTCTTGATAGTGGTCAGGGAAGACTTCTCTGAGCAAATAACTCCGTGCAGTAAGAGAGAAAACTGCAGATTTGAGAAGAGAGGCTTTCAGTAGAAGAAAAGACCAGGAAGCAGGAAACAAATGTGTCATGTTCGAGGAACCTCAAGGTCAAATAGCTAGGAGGGACAAGATCCCAAAGGGCCATGGTTACAAGTTCGCATGTAATTTCTCTTTAGAGGCTACAACCATCAACCACAAACTACCACCCAGATTACAGCACCAATCTAACTGCTTGCCCCATCCATTCTTGCTCACCTCCATCCACTGTCTACGCTGCATAAAATATAACCTTTACAAGACACAAATTAATGTCGCCCCCCTACCCCCACGACGGAAAGCCCTTCAGTCATTTCACACTGTATGGTTCCTGCAATTTACAGCCCTCACTCAGCACTCAGATTCATCCATGCTGCTGCTTACCACCCCAAAATCAAAACCACGCAAAACTACCCATGACTTAGGGATACATACGTATGTAGTAAAACTGACAGGAAAAACAAAAAATAAATAAATAAAAAACTCAGGAGAGTGGATGCTCCCGGGAAGAAGGAAGGAAGAAAAAAAGGAGGGAAAAGAATAGGATCAGGAAAAAGGAGACAGAAGGACAGAATCAGTAACCAGGGGCTTCATGGTATCGGTAAGGATTTATTTCTTCGGCTAGGTGATAAATATACAACTGTTCATTATAAATTTTATATACATATTTCACATGCATGAAATATTTCACAGTAAATTATTTTGAATCTTCAATGTCCTTCCACTGATCTTAACATAAAGGCCAAAGTGCTAACTAACTGCTGTGGGCACACAGACTCAAACCTGCCCCTTCGAGCGTGAGCCCTCCTTTGCTGCTAGCACTGTTCCTCTGACCTCACCACCGAAATAGTCGATCCCCACTCCCCCAGCAGACTCAAGCATGCCCCCTCCCCCGGCCCTTCCCCAGACAAGACCCTCCCCTCTCGTAGCACTGTGTACGGTCGAGGCACTTGCCACGTCATACATTAGATAGCCTGTAGCCCAGGCCTCTTCCCCCGAGACGGGGCAGGGCCCTGCCTGACTTGTTCATCTTCCCCACTAGGCCTAGCACAGTCCTTTGCAGACAGCAGAGTTAATCAAAAATTTTTTGAAGGGGCAGAGAAACAAACCTGAATGGAAGGCACATCTCCTATTAGTCCACTCTTCCATCTTCTCCCTATTCCCAATCCCCTCTCCTACCACTCAAACAGGAGACAAGGCAAATTGGTCAGATTAAGTATGAAAAAGAAGGGAAATACACAGTTATACTCTTAAAAGCAGGGTCCTCTAAAGGCCCATTTTATGAAATTACTTTTGGCAGTGGTGAAGAAAATTAATGAAAAAACTGCAATGAGAAAAAACACTGAACAATATTTTGTGCTGCTTTATGAAATCTAAACCTAATCAAAAACTGTTTGAGAGGACAAATTTTATTGCTGAAAGTAATTCCCAAAGAGCTCATTTTTTATCCACTGTACAGTATTGCCCTTTTAAAGTTGTTCTAGTTAATTAAAAATCATCAAAGAAAAACAAGGTCTGGAATGGTCATATTTATGTGTATCAATATAAAGGAAAGGAACACTGACTTTTAATTACTGAGTGATTAGAAAGGGCTACATACTTCTTTTAATGGGAAATGAAATTTTTTAATTTGTCATGACAGAAAAATTTTAATGTGAATAAAAGTAAACAAAACAACATAATATATCCCCAGGTATCCAACATATACCATCTATAACAATCAACATTTTGCCTACCTTGTTTTATCCCATCACTGACTGACTGATTGCTGGAGTATTTTAACATCAAACGATTTCACTCATAAACACTTCAGTAGAGAAGGATGGTTTCAACTTAAGCACAAGGCCATTTTCACACCTAACAAGATTAACAAAAGCTCCTTCCCTGGCTGGTGTGGCTCAGTGGACTGAGCACTGGACTGTGAAGCAGACAGTCCTTAGTTCGATTCCCAGTCAGGGTGTTACAGGGTGCAGCCAAGAGGGGGGACCCCAAATGGACATCTGAAATGGGGTCCGGAACTTAAGGTGTCCAGGAGATTTTAAGATGGCTCCATCCCCCCGGCCCAGGGTGTGGGTTGGGGGAAGGGACAAATGGAGCAGGGCCATTGAGATCTGTTTTGCATGGCAACAGCCTTGCAGCTACCCTCTGGCGTGGTCATTTAACATATCTATAGCCTTTGGCAGGTCACTGAGATATGTTAAATAGCTGTGATCATCTCTGAGCCAGGGGAATGGAAGTAACTTCCCCACCAACACATGACTGGAGCAGATCCCCCAAGCTACAGCACCTGCGTGGGAGCTCGGAGAAGATTGGCTCCAGGACATGGGACCACACCTGCCCAGACTCATGATGGCAGCCCAGTAAAGCTGGAAGGATATGAATTCTGGCAAGTGAAGCCGAGTGTGGGAGGAGTCGGAAATGAGGCTGCAGAGGAAGATTGGCCGCGGGGATTTAAAACCCAGACTTGGCGGCCATTAGGAGGGAGAACCATGCGCAGCCCTGAGAGGGAGAACTGTGCTGCTTTAGGAAAGAGAACCACGCGGCTTTGACGGAGTGGAGACTCCTGCATCCCGGAGAGAACCATGATGCTTTAGGAAGGAGAGCCATGCACAGCCCTGAGAGGGAGAGAACCATGCGTCTTTAGCAGAGTGGAGACTCCCGCATCCCAGAGAGAGAGAACCATGCATCTTTAGCAGAGTGGAGACTCCCGCATCCCAGAGAGAGAGAACCATGCGGCTTTGGCAGCCCTGAGAGGGAGAACCACAAGGCCTGGACAGAGTGGGGACCCCCGCAGCTTTAGAAGGGGGAACCACCACCTGGTTTTGGCAGAGATCCCGGCGACTCAGCCGAGAGTGCCGAGTACCCAGGGAGGTCTCCCAGTCAAGATGGAGGACTAACTAAGAACCAGAGGACTGCCTGATCCATGGACTTCTATTTCCTTTCCTGAGATACGGTACTCTGGACTGGGCAAAGGGGGAAGGAAGGAAGGACTGTGTGTGTTTGTGGGTGTTTTGGGGGACTTTGGGATTTTTGATAAAGACATTAGGTCACTACTTTAAGTTTGTATAGCATTAAATAAACATTTCCTTTCCTTTTCACCAATCTCCAGCATTGAGAGACGTCTTTCCTCTGGCGGCGGACATAACGGACCCGGGGCCTTCTTTCAATAAAGGTATATTGTCTCAGGCCCCCCTTGTTGTGTTCTGTAACAAGGGCACATGCCTAGGTTGCAGGCCAGGTCCCCAGTTGGGGGCTCATGAGAGGCAACCACACATTGATGTTTGTCTCCTCTTTCTCCCTCCCTCCCCATCTCTCTAAAAATAAATAAATACAATCTTAAAAACAAAAAAAAAGAATATGGCAAAAACCATGAAGGTACCAGAAAAATGTCTGAATTTTGGATATTTTGCTCTACGGAAGTCTTTTGTTGAACATCCTAAAACTAAAGTTCCTTCTTTACTTAAACTGTTTTAATTTTCAGCAATTCTATGAAAACATGATCATTTATAACTATACTTATTCAAATAGCCTTCACAATAAAACAGTGGAACTAAAATTTTCCATTATTTTCAATCACAATCTTAAAGGTACTGATTTTTAATAACTACAGCTATAAAATAATGTCCGAATCCTCATAAAACTAATCTTTAACAATCAACATTTTGCCTACCTTGTTTTATCCCATCACTGACTGACTGATTGCTGGAGTATTTTAACATCAAACGATTTCACTCATAAACACTTCAGTAGAGAAGGATGGTTTCAACTTAAGCACAAGGCCATTTTCACACCTAACAAGATTAACAAAAGCTCCTTCATCACAAAAGACTAACATTCTTGCATCTGATAAGCATTTACTAAAGGCCTTCTATGGGCCAGGCCCTGTGGTAGACATACATTTGAAAGTAAATTTGCAAATTTTCATTTGAAAGATCTATTTCTACCTCAAGAAAATTTTTTAAACATTTAAAGTAAAATACCAAAAGAGAATGTCTTTACCATTGTGTTCATTAAAAACATAGTATGTATTTTAATGACTTAAGGTCAAACTGTTTTCTATGCTACCCTCCCCCACACACACACACACAATATCTAGACAAATGAGCCAGATTTCAATTTAAAGTCTCTTCAGTAAGCTCTGCCTCATATTCGGTATTTGATGCTTCTGCTCCCATATATTCTGAAAATCCTTAGGCATCATCCTACTGAAGACCTAAAGGCAATCCTGTGCCGTCTTTGTGAAAAGTCCGCCTATCTCTATCTTGAGGCAGAGTATGGCAGGCACATCCCAACTGTATAAAGAAAGCAACGGGACTCTCTGGAGGAACTGGTGCCAAAGTATGCTCCTACTGGCGGCGTTTTACTGACTAATGAGAAGCCTGACCTTTTCTTCTTTCCCAGCTCCTTAGGCCAAGAGGTACATCTAACACGCACGACACACACTCAAGCTTAAGCTTCTTGTTCCCTGAAGACATTTCCCCACATATACAACCCCAGTTGCATTTCATCCCAAGAAACCCTGTAAGCCCAAAAGCTTCCCCCCTTCCTACCTCCTGAGTGTGCTCCTTGTAGACTTGCAGTGGCCCTGCAGCTTTTGCAGTGTCCCAGAGCTGCAGCGAGCCGTCCCCACTACAGGTGACCAGCACGTGTTCGTTGTTCTCACTCCAAGTCACGTCAAACAAACCGTCGTTCCAGTCAAAGCTACCACAGAAAAAAATTAAACTTTAAAAAATCTAGTTGAACATAAAATAACAGTAACAAATACAGTTTTTTTTTAAGTGTATCCTATTTTAATGCATTATCTCACCTAGTCTTCACAACTACAAGAAGTAAGTAGAACAGGCACTTGTCACATGCAGAAACAAGTTCAAGGAGGTGAGCAGAGCAGCCCATTTGTACAACTGGTAAACTACCCAGCTAGGTTAAAACTAGGTCTCCCCACTGGAGACGTGGCACTATTTACATGAAGGCATGCTGCCACACCAAGGTGCTCACTGTTTTTGTGGTTCAGAGGCAGGACCAGCAAGCACTTTAAAATACTAACTTAGAACAGTAATTCCAACTTTTCCCATAAATGTTTCACCTGAGCAAAGAGCAGGCGGTTATTTTCTGACAGCATTTCCTCTCCTCTCTCTCCCTCTGACTAACTCTGATGGAGGTACTGAGTCCAACAGTCATGCAGACAAGACATGTGTGGAAAGAAAGGGCAAGAGGCACTAGATAACCCACAAGATGGATAATTAGCTCCTGAATGAGTGACGCTAAACTACATTAAGAAGACAGAAACATCACACAGCAGTACAGTTACTATTCCATTTTTTTATGTTTAAGTTTTGTAATTTCTAAATGGACACTAAGAGACTAGAGCTTTAGAAGGAAAATGATGATCAAACTTAATGGCAAAAATAAGTTCTATGCTATGCAAATGCTGACGTTTCTTTTACATTGCAAATTTAAAAAATTTTTTAAACTTTATGGATAAAAAAGATTCAAAACCTAATTCTATTAAGGCTCTAACAGCAAAAGAGAATACACATAAGTTAACAGAGCACCATCTTACCTTCTAAAGAGCCTAAGGCCAGATTCATTTTGATCCAGTATTAGCAGGGTTCCACAGCCTAAGGAGAAAAGAAGTGGAGGTCACGCTGTTGAACCTGCCAGGGGACCACCTAAGGTCAAGGAAGGATCAAGCACTGAGTACCTACCTGACTTACCACCATGAATTTCCCCCTAAAGTTATCGAGACCAGATATACAAAATCAGGTTGTATTCCCTATTTCTGATCTGGCTTTCTGTGTTGTGCTTCAACCATGATAAGGATGAAACTTATCATCACACCTATGCTTGGAATCCAGACAGCCCCAGCAGAGGAGATATTTGAGTTCAGATTCTGTGGCCAGGCAGGGGCCAGGCACATGAACCTCCCAGATAGGTGTCAGCACCCCTATTTACAGGAACAAACCTCCGGCTTACAGACCCCCAGGATTCTATTTCTACTACATCTCACTGCCTCACCAATAAATCTAAAATGCATCAACATGGGATTTTAAAACAAAATACTTGGTGGAATCTGCCACATACTTGGTGGCAAAGTGCTAAACACAATATATATGTTATCTACCAAAGAATAATTATTTTACTAAAAGACCAGCACATTTTAAAAGTTATATTTGTTATAGGAACTGTATGTGGGGGGAAGTACTGAAAGGTCTTTTATTTAAATACGACTGATATGTTTTTAAATGCCAACTCCATTAAAGTTTTTGTAAAGGTTTTCATTCAAAATATCACAAACCCATGGGTCTTCAACCTAACTGGTGGACAACTGTAAATCTAAACGTGCAAGCACTAAGAGCTAATGGTGAAAATAAAAGAAAGCAAATATCTCTCAATTACATTATTTTTTTCAGCTGTAAGGACCAAACACTACTACAAAAGCTGACATCATGCAGTGATTTGTATCATATCTTTGGTGTGTAAATAATAGCTAGGATATTAATTAAAAGAAGAAAAATTAAGAATGGAACCCTTCCTCATATGTAGAATCTAATGAACAAACTGAACAAGTAAAACAGAGACCCATAGAGGGCAGGGTGACAGCTGTGGGGTGGGGGTGGGGGGTTGGGGTGGAGGGGATCTAGCAAAAGAGAAAAAGGACTCATGGACGTGGACAACAGTGTGGTGATTGCCGGAATGGGGGTGGGGGAGAAGCTATGAGGAGATAAATGGTAATGGGAAAAAATACAATAAAAAAATAAAACCACCAGAAAACAACAGAATGCCAAAAATGGAATCCTGCCTTTCAATCTAGACCATAACAGACAGTTGACTTAAACCCCAAACAAATGCTTGCAAATGTATCCCTTCTCATACAACAACCGGCTAGAGCACAACTTGGGTAAATTTCATATTGGCAATTGCAAGGAGTCTTAAATCAGGGGCACTCGATTCATGACTGAAAGCCCGAATGCTGACTGTGGGGAACGTGGACGAATTAACAGGTACTGAGATGACCCTGAGGAAGGCCTTCGAAGTGCTGTGGTCGGGTCAGACCGGTCAGATCCGTCAGAAGAGCTACACACGCTAAACGCCTAGAGGGAGGCTAAACCTCTCTCTAGGGCGGTGTGAGCCGGGAAGTGGTCAGGGGTGGTGGGGTGGGCGAGTATCAGCTGGCAGTGGAATTGGTGTGCTCTTAAGGAATTCTTAAGACACGGGCCACTAGGCGTCTTCCAGATGCTCCTTTTGCACGGTAAATGTGGGGGAGGGAAATGTCACTATCGCCAGACCAACTCCTCACACTGGACAAAAGAGGGAGCAGGAGCCGACCGGATCCCCTGCTCCCCCTGGTGTTCAGTTGCGGCGCTGTCTACAGCCGGATACGTTTTCCGAATCCGGGAAGAAGCCGGGCTTGGCTGGTACCCGCCCCCGCCCAGGCGGCGCGGCCTCACCCGCGATGCCGTAGTGCTGCGCGGCTGCGCAGGCCAGCCGGCCGGGCAGATACGGGGAGAACTCGGTGGCGTAGCCGTGGCGACCAGGCACCCGCAACGTCCGCACCGATCCTCCGTGCGTCGCGTTCATCCCTCCCGCCGCCTGAGGTCCTCGCCACCCCGACCGCCGAAGCCGCTCTGAATCGGAGGTGGACTCGTCCGAAGAAGTTGGACACCCCGGAAGACGAGGCGGAAGTAAGGACAGCCAGTGCCCTGAATACTGGGTTTCTATTGGTCTGCAAATGGAAGGGCAGTGACGCCAACAGAATTCACTTTTGTTTTGGGCAAAACAAATTAGTGCCACACGTAATGAACTAGGGCAGTGTGGATTAGGTGGTGGTTCTGAAAACTTTTATTTTTGTGTATCAGCCTCCACTGTGGGGCTATCTGGTTTTTATTGTCAATTGAACTTTTGAAAGACTGGCATCAGTAAATACCCCCAATGATTACAAAACGAGATAAGCTGCAGAAAACTGAAATCATGCGGCGATCCAAAAGTTAATTGAGTGCTGTGTTGCTCAAGATAACATGAAACAATATTAAATCAGGCGAGAGTGAAGCGAAGGAAAAAAGACATAATAGGCAACTAACTTAAAAAAATTCTCACTACATATATTGTATAGTAATAAGTGCTCAGATACAGGATTAATTAAGGGAATCTAAGGCTTATGCATTCATTCATTTATTCCTTTATTCATTCATTCAAACATGTACCGCGTTTTCATTTTAAAAGATCTGGGCAACACTAATCTGGAGGACAGCGATTAGAAATGGGAGGAAAATTAAAAGATTTTAGCAATAGTTCAAGCAAAAGATAAGATTTTTAAACGAATATTGTGGCAATGGTAATGGAAGGTAAGAGTCAAATGAGATTTTTAAGGCAATAACTCATAAGATATGATTTGTGAGGAACAGGGATGAGTCTAAATGGCATCCAGATTTCTGACTTACATGCCTGGATGGATGGAGGGACTATTCACTGAAATCAGGACTGTGGGAAGAGGAGCAGGTTTGGGAAGAAAATGAGCTCTGGTATTAACATACTTAATATGAATATCATATTGGACATACCAATCAGAAGCTCTGGGAGTTCTTGTTGCATATAAAAAAAATATGTAAGCCATGGAACAGATTGCCCCCACTCGGCAGGAAAGTGGTATGAAAAAAGGAAAGAGCCAAAGACAGACCTTGGGGAAAACACCAGATGTGAGAATTGGCAGAGGAAGAGGAGCTAGGAAACAGTTGGGAGGAGACAAACCAGATGTATCCTATTAATTAATTAATCTGTTCAAGAATACAGCTCAAGTTGGGGGAATTTGCATACTACCTTTTGATACATACTTAGATGGACAGGTTGAGAGTGGGTCCTGTATGGGGAAAATGACTCAAAAGAATCCTTAAAGAGTATCAAAGAAAATAAGATAAAAGCATCTATTACAGTGCTTGGCACATAGCAGGCATTCAAAAAATATGACGACTGCCCTGGCTGATGTGGGTCAGTGGTTTGAGTGCCAGCCTAAGAGGCAAAGGGTCACTGCTTCAATTCCCAGTCAGGGCACATGCCTGGGTTGCAGGCCAGGTCCCCAGTAGGCGGGTGTGCGAGAGGCAACTACACATTGATGTTTCTCTCCCTCTTTTTCTCCCTCCCTTCCCCTCTAAAAATAAATAAATAAAATCTTTAAAAAATAAAAAATAATAAAGTATTTTTAAAATATGAAAACCATTACTATTATAGCAGGAAAGAATTTGCTAGCACAGATCTAAGTATTCAAGAAATAAAGCATTCTTTTTTTTTAATTGATAGACATCTGTCTGTTATTCTACCAATCTATGCACTCACTGGTTGTTTCTTGTATGTGCCCTGATCTGGGGTCTAACCCACAACCTTGGTATATCTGGACAATGCTCTAACCAACTGAGCTACCAAGCCAGGGCCTCTTTATTTTCTTGAACCAACTTAAATCTCCATCCCCATAGGCTATTAGAAAAATCAAGCTCATGGGTGTTTGGGGTTTCCCAGCACTCCCTGAGGTCACATCAGAATCTGACACTAGAAAGTAAAGTTTATAACGGTAGCATCGTCAGCACTTCAAACAGTGCCTGGGGAACAGTGAAGAGTCTCTCTCATCTGCTGACTGTTAGTGTCACCACAGATAGCTCCCTGTGCAAGTCTGAATCATCATGTGAATGTGCATTTCCATGAGATGCGTGCAGCTATGCAGGCCCATTTGTCTCTTCTCTACTGAGATGGGCTCCCATGTACCCGAGGGGCCCATGAAATCATTACCACCAGGGAGCAGGGCCAAGCTGCTGGCACATCTCTAAGCTGGAGAATCTTTCCCTCTTTCCCTCTGCCTCTTCACTGCCACCACATGGTCATATCTTGCCTCCCCCTTCTCAAGACCACATCAAAACAATGTTCAGTGAGCTTAAAAATGGTGAGCAACTTTTATGGCCATCCTTCACGTGCCCTGAGGCCAGGATCACAGAGGCACTGGCTAATCTGACCAGAATAGGGAAAGGAAAAACACAGATCAATACCAAATCCATTGTCCTGGCATACTGAATGAAGAAAGTAAGACATGAATTAATTATTAATTAATAACAATTGACAGTAAAAACTTTGATGTGTAGAAGCAAACAGAATGTTATACATGCCTCTTCTCCCCACCTAAACCACACAAGCTCCAAATTCTCAGCCGGCCCCCTGCCCGTGAACCTGAGATGGGCCATGGATGCCTGCCTCATCACCTAGGCAGTATTCCTCATATTCCAGGTCCCCGCCTCTGAATCTCATTTGGTAATTTTTATAATGTACATTCTTAGGACACCCCATGGACATATTTATTCAAAATCCCAGGGCCTAGAAATCTTCATTTTAACAAGCTCTTCTGGGTGATTCTCATTTGTTGGCTAAAGCAAAGACAGAAAAGAAAAACACATATGAGAAGCGCTCCACACTGACAGGGGCTCATACATTGGTAGCAAATGAGAATACATTCCAGGCAAAGCAAGCTGGAGTTCTTAAGATATGCAGGGAGGGATAGCATTCATAAAAAATATTGACATTGAATGTGAAGATCTAAGAATTACACAGCACCCTGTTCCAGAACCTAGAGAAGACCACCAGAACTGAATTACTCCCATAGCAAAATGGTTGCCAGAAATGGATCTAGAACCAGGCTCATGTTTAATTCATTTTTTTTAGAGAGAGAAGGAAGGGAGAGAGAGAGAGAGAGAGAGAGAAACATCAATGTGCGGTTGCTGGGGGTCATGGCCTGCAACCCAGGCATGTACCCTGACTGGGAATTGAACCTGCGACACTTTGGTTCGCAGCCCGTACTCAATCCACTGAGCTACGCCAGCCAGGGCTTCATGTTTAATTCTTACCATGGACTTTATAGATTATATCTGAGAATTGGATTTCAGTTACATACTTCATTTGTATTCAAACATAAATATACAAAATGTCAGACTGACTTCAACCAACCTAGGAGTTTCTATTTGAGGGGAATACGTTGTGTTTGTTTGTTTTCATGTCCTTTGCACTTGTGTAAACCTGATCCCAAACCAGTCGATGTTGCTTCTTTCATGTCTCCCAGGTGCTCTGTTTTCAAAGGTTGCATGAGATGGTTTGTGAGCTCCTGAGTCAGTGTCAACATGAGGGCTGTGGTCACTTTGTTTGCTAGATATGGACAGCTTAAATTCTAATTTAGACTGCACTATCTTAACTGAATAAACACAGAGGGAGCCCTGACGTTCTGTTCATGCACAGTGACAGAGAGAAACCAATGAGCCAACTACTAGCTGGCCACGAGTGTCTGCGCCTGGAGAGGAGAAGGAAACGTGTATTGGTCCTCGGACTTTCCTTCCATGAGTAGCCACCACATTTGAAAAGGCTTGGGGAGGATGCAGCCAGTGTGACCATTTTATTTAGTGTTTTAAGAACAATGAAACCTTCAACATTAGTTTGGAATTGAATAAACACTCACAAGCTTAAGAAATGTTTTAATTTCATTTAACACATAATGGCAGAGCCTAGCATATATTACTTTGCCAGAAAGTAAGGAAGTGCACACAAAAAATTATACAGACTGTGGGAAGGACACAGGCACCTGCTGGAGGGGGCTCTCTCTGGACACACCTGGACCAATTCAAATATTGATAAGTATGGATTATAACATACTGCATGAAATAAGAATTTAAGAGACCATACTGATAATGAATAAATAATAGAGAAGAAAAGTTTTTCCATGCAGTAGAATTTCTGTTACTAAAACTAAAAGACATGATGAAATTACAAGGTAAGCATTTAGCAATCACCATAGATTGTTTTAGGCAAGAACCATCAATGGATGTTAAAAGTAGTGTCAGGATGTATAAAGACAGACAAAGTAATATAGTCTCAAAGTGTCTCCCGCAATATTCTTATTAGTTATAAAAGGAAAATTAGTAAATTGACAATAATGAAACCTGGCAAACACCACTTTCAGCAAGTAATTAAACATCCCCAGGAATGGCACAAATCAACCTCATGTACTGCTGATGTGACGTGCTGGGAAGAGTACATCTTCACTTCTGTGATGTTTCTTCCCAAATTATATAACCTGAGGAATTCATATAATGAGGTAATATCAGACAAATCCAAATTGAGTAACGTTCTACAAAGTAACTGGTCTGCACTCTTCAAAAATATCGAAGTAACAGCAGACAAAGACTGAAGAGCTGCTGCCCCATGGAGGCGCACTAAAGAGACATTGCAACTAATGCAGCCTGCGGACCTGACTTCCATTCTGCACAAGAAAGATACTTTTCTTTTGCTCTAAAGGACATTAGAGGACAATGGGCAAGAGTTGAAAAAAGCCTTTAGATTGGTCATAGCTTTTTGTCTGTGCTAAATTTCTGACTTTGATGGCCATATTTTGTTTATCTGGGTGGGAATTTAGGAAATACACACTGTATCTCAAGCACTTGAAAATTACGCAGGTAGGTAGATGAAGCAAATGTGATAAAATATGCATACTTGAGAATCTGTATGAAGGTACATAGGACTACTTTGAATTATTTTTGCAACCTTTCTGTAAGCCCGTGTGTGTGTGTGTGTGTGTGTGTGTGTGTGTGTGTGTGTATATATATATATATATATATATATATATATATATATTTTTTTTTAGTAAA